CCTTTTCAATGGTAGAGGTAGGTATGATTTCACTCAGGAAGACTATTTAAGCAGAGTAAATGCGAAGCGCAGAGGCTGTTCCGGGAAGAGAAGTGGAATGTGCCAAGTAATTTTATTTCTGGATTAAGCAGCATCTCGAAGTTATTGTAAAAACAGACATCAGTGTAGAACTGCGAAAATTTCAACCTTGTGACTCCAAATAGTTTAGCTTAAAGGATTCGAACTGATTTGGTTGAAGTTGCACATGGCATAACTCAAATGAATGCAATCCCGACCATTTCATGTAAGAAAATTACAAGCAACAACAAAGTAGCATTTTCACGCTAGGATTTTCGGCAAACTCAATTTTCAAAACCCCATAAACACTCTAATCGAATCCAACTCCCTAGGGTGCTTTTATGAAACCCTTCCAAAGCAGATTTCATTTTCCGTACGAACCGGTGCAGTGGATAACTATTATTTCACTTCCACCTGACATAACCGAACTTTACTAAGAACTTGAGATCAAATGATTTCAAAGACGACTGGTTAGTGGGAGCAAGCTGCATAAATGGATTATACACTGGTGCAAATGAAATTCCACACTTTCTGTTAATCTACTAACACTCGCATTGCTGTGCATTCTTGCTCCCTAGCAAGGACAAAACAGCGAAGAAAAGAACCGACTCAGAAAGGTGTTTTACAAAGGATAATTGTAAGACAGCGCAAACACCGGAACAAATTTAGCTCCTTGATAAGAACACTTCATCAATCACGTAATTGATGAGACTGATTGTTTATTTCTACTGACACACGTTAATTCACTCTTATATCCTCCAGTGAAAAAAGTACCTGAGACATGATTCCAACGTTAAACAGCTTATCACGACTTATTAGGTTAGTGGATGTGCGAAATGAAATGGGAATTCCAACATACATAAATTCGAGTGAATGAAATCAATTTCGACGGTCTTATTGAGGCATGCTATCCATGACCAAGAGCCGCGCTTTAATTACGTCATCTTGTGTGGGTACCCATTGAGCATTTCCTTTTGAATGCTTACATGCGCATTGTAGAGATTTAAACGAAATCCACCGGGCGTGATTGTGGAGGCGTAGCCCATCGCCTTTCCAGCAATCCAATCAGCTTGATGTAGGTAGTGTGGATACCCGTTAATGGAGAAGGGCAATGTCATGAAGGATACAAGCGGCCATCGGCAGAAGATGCACACTCCCGAACCAAAGAGGTGACTAAAGAAGATGGGTTAGGGAATCAATGGGCAATCAGCAAAACTTACGAAACGCAAAGTGACTCAAACTTACGTGTAAAATTTGACACAATGTGGATAGGTGGACCTTAGGCAAGACCTGATTTTCTCAAAGTCAGATTGCAACCATACCTCCTGAAGGAAGATAATGTCGCTATCTGACTCTCGAAGAAGCTCGCAGATAGCATCAATGCGTACGTCCTTCTGAACTGTTAACCCTTTTACAAAGACGCCCCTAACAAAGTGTCTTGGTGAGAAATACGCGGTAAGGTCTGGCTAACCAGCAATTCAGAGTAAGGATCTTGATGCGTTCCGTTGAGTCAGACGTGGTGCCTATGTTTATAAAAGGAAACAGTTTTGTCTAAACATTACAAAGATATATTAGCATTAGTTGTGTAGTATAAATAATAATGAAACGGCTCTTCGTTTATATGTTGTGCAATTTTAACAAGGTGCAATTTTCAAAAATTGTCATGGTTGCGTAAAGCTTGTAACCACAAAGAGGGACGTATGATCAGAAATTTATAAGGAAAATGGGGAAAAAGTACCAAATGTAGAATCTCATTTATTGCGCCAGAGCTAACAAAAAAAATAATTCAAGATTACGAACCCTATCAACACGTTTCCTCTATGCACAAAATTTACAGCACAAATTTTGTGAAACCTTTGCTGTGAACATGACGTATGACAGCAGTTCCGTCTCCCAAAACGTGTAAAATGCCTAAACCCAACGCGTAACAACCATAATTAGGTTCGTCAGCAGCGATTCACAGTTTAAAAACCAAATGTTAATAGGCATAGTAGGCCTGAAAACAAATCTACCACAATTCAGTTATATTTTACACAAAAATCTGCATTCACACACGATCGCCAACCCATTCATACCTGCTCTCATGACGTCCTTGAAATGCAAACCAGAGGATTGAATTTAAGCGTATCAACAAATGACTAAAAAGATGAAAAATACTAGTTTTTAGTGGAAAATAATTGTACTAACACAACAGAATTTTGTGTAAAAATAATTTTATACTTGTTCTAAGTGAAAATCGATGTAAAATATTTACACATGGGTAATTTTACATCATCTTACATTCACTCATAGCCATTACATTGCGCATATACATTAATGCTTAATAATTTTAGGAGTATATATTAAACGAATTTGAATTTTGTATTTAAGAGGCAGACTTGCCTTTCTTTTGAATTTGTCATTTAAGTACCTTAAACACTAGACCTTTTACAGAAACAAAGAGCAAGAGGTGAAAGTGATAACCGCAACACCTGACCTTAATAAATCATGGCCCAAGCATTTTCCGAACTTTTAGACTGCTGACATAAAAAGCCCATAATTTACCTACCTCGCCAAGTGCGAGGTGCAACTATGCAAACAGCCCATTTGTCCATGCTGTAATGTACAATAGTGTGTTTAAGCTGGCCTTTATAAGAGAGGTGTGGGGATCAACTCGGACACGAACTCAGTGCGTTTAGATTGGGCATGGGGACGGCAGGGACAGCGAATAGGAACCTACATATGTCGTCTGCATATGTCTTTGGTTAAGGATCGAACGCTTCTATCTAGACCTTCCATGCGTTGTGAACATGTCTGTTTCGAAGTCCATAATCAATCGGCACCGAAGTAAAAAGTCGGCTCCAAACAGTACGCCTCAGACAAGTTCTCCTAACTTTCCTTCCTGTCTGAGACTGATAAAGGCTTTTTCTATTCGCGATATATCCCCATGCAGGACGTATTTTAGCAGCCGATGGAGCGATACGAGCCTTGTTACAAACCAGGAAGGCTTATGGGTCTGGTAACGAGCGGGCTGCCATTGAGTTCAGAAGAAATGTGCTTGTATGGCCTTCCATTTTACTCCGTACTCGCATAAAACTATGAGATCGTGAGAAAAGTAGGCAAGCCAACAAAAATTCTGTCTTTTTTTATGTTGAGGGCCTCTTGGAAATGTATGTCTTCGCCCTCCAGTAGGTGACTGTCCGTTGGGAATCCACGAACGAAAACGGGTGTTGAATTCCGTTGAGGATTACAGCTCCTGGCGCTTAACGGTTGCCGCGTCAATAAGACGACTCAGTCTGCTCGTCCTCATCTGCTTCAGTTGTTCTGTCAAGGCAGTTGGATGCACGCCCCTTTTGAACTGTACCGCTATCCATGAGGCGACCCGGAGAAACAGTAACCCTTGAATGCCTTCTTGGCTAGTAACTGGAGACTCCCCGCGAAGTCCTCTTCACTCTCCAGGTTTTTGTGACCGGTGAAAAAGTCAGAAGCTAAGAATTCTTCCTTCTAAAGGGATGCCAGTTTGACAAGGACCTTACAGCACTCCTCGATCTCCGACGAAAGTGTGATACTCGCGTCCATTGACTCGCGACGTAGGTCGTAGGCAAGGCGCAGGGTAGTAATGCCGCTCTCCGTGCAAGATCATCGAGTTCGGGGACTGCCTTTGTGAAAAGGAACTAGTCTTCGAATTCTTTGTCTTCTTAAAGGGAGAGATGTCGACCGGGGCTGCCGTCAGTGCAGAACCTGCCTGCCTACTTTCATGCCCTTGAATCCTGAACTTCAGGGGAGGACTAATCGCGGAAGCTTTATTTGGTATTGTGTGCAGAAAGAAAGGAAATGGGGAGGACGGATGAGTCGGAAAGTAGATATCACCTGGAGAATGGGTCCTCATGCTTCACACGCACTGGGTCCGTGTTCGGATTGATTTTCCGCCTCTGTCATCATAATTATGGCGAAATTAAGGCGTTGCGCAGTATGCCAAAGTGAAGTTCTTCAACAGAATGAGGTCGCCTTAATTTTTTGTTTACGTGACCATCTGATGTTTGGCGGTTACTCTTGTAGCGTCCCGAGGCTTCCAATGGGATAGTAGAAGGCATAAGTGGGGTTGAATACATGTA